CCCATCATTTTCATCCAGATCCAGGGCAAGGGCTTTACAGGGTCAGAAGATCTCAGGGCATACGAAAAATTGTGATCTTTGTTGAACCCCGAGGTTTCACTCCAAGGTGGAGCTGTCATGCTGTGTGTTGAGGTGGTCTCCTGCTGTCACTGTGACAGCCCATCCAGGTCCCCACTGCCATCAGCTGGGGAGTGGTCAGGGCTCAGGGCAATCCATCACCCCCTTCTCCAGAGGCCATTTCTGGCCCATGGGCATGCAGGGCTGACAGGTGAAAAGCTGCTTGTTCCCAGCTCATAGGATGCTCTGGGTCCCTGCAGCTCTGGGCATACAGATAGCAGCTTGAGGGAATCTAATTAAAATGTGGTGATAGCTGCCTGCTGCAGCTCTGATGGAGGGGGATGAGGAAAGGGGGTACTGGCTTCCCGTGACTAGTTCCAATGAAATGAAGACTTCTCTGATGCAGACTCGGTTGTCTCTCACAGTGCTTCCCTGGCCCCCCCCCCCCCTTCCCTGTTGTCTGGATCCAAACATGCACAAGTTCACTGTGTGTGCCCTCTGCTTTCCTCTTGCCCGAGATGTAATGCCAGCTCCCCCGAGGAGGGCATCTCACTGAGTGACCAGAAAAAGTAATTTGAAGTCTACGGCTGCTCTTCTTAAATCACCTTAGAAGAAGGCAGACGTGCCCAGCTCCTGGCATCTCTATTTTTACTTTATTCAGATATGGGTATGACTGAGTTGTCTCCTTTTATTTCCAGCATTTGGCGTGTGCTGTCGCGCATTGCTAGAGATGTGTCTGGCTGGATGTGAAGCTGCCTGCTTCCCTGAATCCCTGGCAGACTGCAGGGGTGAAGGGCTCTTGTCTTCTGCATGGTTTCCTAATTCATTTCTTCTCTCCTTGGTGCTCTTTGCCTCTCCCTTCCACTTCCCTTACAGTTTATGGACTTTCTTTTTTCTGTGTTTATTCAAAGCAGCCTGGGTAAACAGGGAGCAGGAGTGTGGTAACTGGGGGTACTGGTAGCACTGGATTCCAGAGGCATTTTTAATAGGTTTCTGGTAAATGGAACTGTCTTATTCTATGTAGAAACTTTTCTTAGTTGCTCTATCTGCAGCTTGGCCCGAGATTTCCTTGGAAAGGCTCAGACTGCATTTTGCTTCCTGACAGTCAGGCTGACAAGCTCTGCACCTCAGGTGGCTCCAGTTGCAGCAGCTCTGGTGGTGCTGGTTTGCCAGACCTGTCTTGCCAGCGCCGTTTTTAGCTTACAGCTGCCCCCAGCACCACGTGCCTGAGTTGTGCCTGTCAGCTGTCCCCGTCCCTCCTCCTGCTTGTGGGCAAGATCCTGTACACTGTAGCTAGGAATGTCCCCAGTATCTTCCTCAGACCATGGGATGCTCGTGGAGAGGCTGATTTCATGGTTAGCTGCTCCAAAACCTGGTTAGGAATAAGATAAATGGTTTGACATGTTGAAGCGGGTGCCTCTGAAACCTCCTAGATAACCTGGGGGGAACGAGAAGCATGGAGCTGCCAGGCTTTCCTTCTGGGGCTTGCTCTGTGGCAGTGGGGATGAAATGGGGGGGCTCTCTGGCTGCCCTGGACCTGCTTCCCCCAGCATCGCCCACCCTGTGTGGGCCTGGGGATCTGCTGACTCCTCCAGGAGCCTGGGGGATGAGCTGGGATACAGGATACCTGTATCCAGCCACAGATCCACTCTCAGCCATGGGACAATGCATATGCTCTGAGCCGTCCTCTGCCCCATTGCTTCCCCAATGAGGCAGGGGGGGAGCTTGTGTTTCTGGAGTAGGTTGGAGAAGATGCTCCATAACAAAGCCTCTACTGCCTGAACTGCTCCGAGGCTTGTCCTACACCAAGTGACTCCGTGTGTATGGTGGCAGCTTTGGAGAGTTTCTCCATCGTTGTGAAATTGCCTTCAAGCTTTTCAGCTTGAAATGTTGCTTTCTGCCCCTTCGGTTGCCCTCATGCACCTGGAGTGGCAGCCCCAGGGTGTGTGATGGTCAGGAATGTGGCTGGAGAGGGCTGCCCTTGGTCAGGATGCAGGACTGGAACACCTAAGAGCCCTGGAGCTCTCCCCTGAGGAACTGTCCCTCCTCTGTAGGCACAGGCTGGCTGCAACCACACCAGTTTGGGATGTCAGTGGTTAACTGAGAAGCTTTGGAGCTGATGGGTCCTGTGCTTGAGATGGAGAGCTTGTTAGCTTGCTGCAGTGAGACTTTTAGACGCTGTCTGACTTTAGCCCTAACGGTGGGTTATGGGGGGGGGTCCATCATCGCAGCAGGGACCACCAGCCAAGGGTTGGCTCCGAGTGGCAGGCTGCAAACCCACTGCCTTTGGTTGCTGAGTCTCTGTCTTCCGTGGGAAGGGAGATAGGCCATAATGTGCATGTGTTTGAACATGCCCACCCACCTGCCTCCCAGGAACAGGAGTACCTCAGCACCGCAATGCAGCAAGCAGGCTTGAATTAAAGACCGTCATCCTCTTATCTGAGCATTGCAACAGATGGTGGTGATCTATAAACTTCTGTGGTGAAGGAAGGCTGAGGGGGAGCCGCTTCAGGGGCTGTTGCTCCTGAAGGATGTGAATGTCCTCCAGTTCTTTGTTGGGCTTTTCTCACTCATCTCTTATGTGAAAATGTGGGAGTGGAACAGTTGAGTCTGGGTTTGATTTGACTTGAGCCATCAGAGTTATCTGGACTAACTCAGCATGGGACAAGCTTGTTGTGAGCCCAGAGATGTGGTGGTATGTCCGAGGTGGGAGCATGAGAGCTGTTACCAATGTGTGAGTGTGCAGGATGCCACACTGCTAAAACAGCCCTGCTCCCTCTGATGCTGAAATCCTTATGTGGTTTTGACTGCCAGCTGGCAAAAGAGAGGATCGGATGTCACCCGGGGGTGTGCAGGGGGGTTCAGTGTGATGGTTTGCTTTGGGAGGGGACCTGTGTCTGCTCAGACCAGGAGTGCTGTGTACCATGGTGTAGGCAGCTCCTGTTGTGGGCCACACTCTCCTGTTGTTCCCCTGCCTTGGAAGTGCTGATGTACATCACAGACATAAACAAGAGAGCTGATGTGTCGGCCTTGCTGCTGTGTTGATGTTTGGTTAATGAAAGTTGGCCTCTGGAGCTGCTTATCCGTTGCCCTTCAGTATAAAACAGCACTTTGACTGCAACAGGCTCTGGTGTTCAAAGTCATGATCAGGCTGTAAAGGTATCATAGGAGATCTCATGGAGGGAGGCTGTTCTTTGTTGTGGGATTAGAGATGTTGATCTCCGAGAAGCCCATTCCACTTGAATGCCTGTCGCAAAGCACTGGTAAGGAGACTGCAGTAAGAACTATACATTCCCCCTGCAGAGAGGATTTGGGTTTCGTTCCACTCTGTCTTGAGTCAGCGTGGAGGAAAAGGTCTTGCTGGCCTGGCAGGTGCTCTGGAGAGCTGTTTGAGGTGGTTGCAAGCAGCATCACTTGCAGCCCTTGGTGTTTGGGTGGGTGGGTGGAGATGGTGGGATCAGCATGGTTGAGAAGGCTTGTGGAGTGGGGAGGGGGAGGGCTCTTAAGCCAATGCAAGTTGGTCACCTGCCTCCCAGGGAGATGCGGCTTGAATACAGAGGGGAGTAGATGGGTGAAATGGGAAGAGTCAGTCTGGCAGCTCCTGCCACCTTCCTGACAGCAGAACTATTGACCTGGCAAATCTGGTGAGAGCATTCTGTGGGATCCATTAAAGCTGTTGCAAAACCTGGTGAGAATCAAGATGGGAGGTGTTCAGGCTGGGACAACTCTGAAGGCCCAGTTTGGGCCATTATAGATCTGCCTGCATCCTCCCTGCATGGGGGTAGCACCACAGATCATCTCCTGCTGTGCAACAAGGCCAGTCTGTCACGTTTGCCTGTCTCTGTGGTCCAGTGTCGACATCAGAGCTTGATTTCAACCTGCTATGAATTGGTCAAGACTAACTGAAAATGTCTTGTGGGTGGCTCTTCTGAAAGCCATGCTGCAGGGTGAGCTCTGGGGTAACTTTCCCAAGGCCAGGCACAAACCAAGCTCAAATTACTCTCCCTGGTTTGGGAGGGGCAGATATCATCTCGGATGCTTCCAGACCTTGCTGTGTGGCTTTTCGGTGAGCCCCATGTCTCTAACAGGAGGAGAAAGCCACTCACTTGAAGTGGTGTCTGGCTGCTGAGAAGCAACATCCTTATCAGTGTGATCAGGGGTCCTGATCCAGGACAAGCGTTAATGGGCAAAGGGCTTCAGCTGCAATCCTTTGAATTAGAGACTGACCCGGGGCCTCGGGAGCAGCTCCCAGGGGCTGGGGATGTCCTGTGAGAGTGGGTGAGCTGTGAACTCAAGCAGCAGCCAAGCTCATTCAGGCTGCGCTGGGGGGCTCAGCTCTCTGCTGCTGCTGCAGACAGGGCTGTGCACCTTGTTCAGCTGGCTAATGGGCTTGTGCCAATCATTTCTCTCCTCCCAGGGATGGTGGGACGCTCCGCGGGATGCCCAGCTCCTTGCGGGGTGAGAGGCAGCAGAGCCCTCTGCCACTCATCCCTCTCTGGACAGAACACCCGAGGGTATAGGAGAGCATCGCTGCCATATAGGAGGTCTCTGCTGTCAGCCTGGGTGCCAAGGTTGATGCACATATTGGGAGGGGATATTGCTTCATTTGGAAGAAAACTAGAGAGAGGTTTACCTCTTGGGGAGCTGAAATCACTGCCGTTAAGGGCTTTCACAGTGTAAGGAGGGCAGCTCGAGGACTTCAAAGGTGAGAACATCTGGGAAAAGCACTGGGGTAGCAGGGAGTGTGCAATAACGCTGAGAGTAAGGGCAAAAGATACTTCTGAAATGAAAGTGTGATCTGATTCCTTTGCTTCATTTTTCCACCTTGTGTGTGTTCTCATGAGGCACTGCTCCTCCACAAGCCCACATACAGTACGTGAAGTGAGTCTGAGCATGAGGTTTTGCTTTCTCTCAGTGCTTACATGTGAGCTTTCTCTCAACAGCCATCAAGGTGAGCTGCATTGGAACCTGTGGGGTGTCTAACAAGATCAATGACACAGCATGGACCGTGGAGGAGCAATACTTTAACAGCACACTGTCTCTGGCAGACAAAGGTAAGGCCCACAAAGATGTGGTGGAGATCTATGATTCTGAGATGGTCTACAGAAATGTATCACCAGGACTTCAGCATTTTCTCGATGTGAAATACCCCTTCACAGGCTGCCTCGGCCTGTGCACAGAGGATGGGAGCCAGTATTAGAGACTGCAAAAGCTTAGAAGGAGCTGTGCAGAGAGGCATCCTGAATAGCTGCAGAACTTGGCAGCCACCCTGCAAACACTGCTTGCATCCTCTGGCCCTGGTCTGCCTGAAATGGAGCTGCCAGCAGTGAATCTCCACCATTTCAAGGCCCTGTGGGTTCACTCTGCTTCCTATGCGTGCTGTCTATGGTGGTCACAAAACACTGGTCAAAGCTGGTCAGCAGAAGCCAGTTGCAGGCCAGGAGTAGTTTGCACTGAAACAGATGTGGAGGTGTCACTTGTCCTCCAAGAGAAACACTGATAGCATGGCAGGAACAGCCTAGGACAGTTACCACCACACCCTGGCAAGCCAAGATGCCCAGAGATAGTGACAGGTTGTATTATCCCATGGGGTAAAGTGACACCAGCAGCCTCTGGGGAATCTGGGCTCGAATGAATGCTGTCTTTCTGCTGTTAAATAGGTCAGCTTTACCACAAATAATTCATGCTGTGCCCTGGCTCCTGTTGAAATCAAGACGTGCCAGTATTCACCTGCTGAAGGCAGTGGCTGTAGCTGTAATGTGGCAAAAGCCCAGGGTAGCAGGAGCTCAGCCCTCCGATGCTGTTTTATCTAATAACAGGAAATGGGTAAAACTGAAGTGGCAGTTTCTGCTAGCTCAGCATTTTTTTCAACCAGAGCTTTTAGCATCAAGGGGAGACTGACCTCATCCACGCAGCAACTGGCAAGAGCGCTGCTTGCTCTCAGGTCCTGGGGAAGGGAGACAGCTGGCTGGCTCACCTCTTGGCTTGGATCATAGCCCGGGGGCTGCAGTTGGAGGTAAACTGCCTGGGAGGGCAATGAGAAACATTCCTCCCTGATTCTGGATGTGATGCCGAGCACAGCGAGCACAGCCAGAGAGCCCACGTGTGAATGTTGGGGTAGCAAAATCCCAGAGGCTTTATAATGCTGCAGGCCACTGAGCCTAGATGGGTTGGGAACTGGAGTCCGTGAATGATTGTGGACTTCTGGGGAGGTTTAAACCTGCAACTGCACTAAAAAATGCACCTTCTAACTTTTGTTTCTAATATTTAATGATTTAAGGGAGAGCTGTGCTACTGTGGTCAGTTCTGTCCTGGTGAAGCTGAGCAGTGGCAAAAGCCAACCAGGAGATAGGAGTGGGAAGAGGTGGGTGTGCTGTTCATTGGTTTTGCAGCCCCTGGGAGACTGATAGCTGCTTTGACAGTCGGTTTGTGTGGGACTGCCCTTGGGAGCCATCCCCTTGACAGCTAGGACCAGTGCTGACTGGGAAGGATGGAAGGAAAATGCACTGGTGGCTACACGCTTTCTGACGTGTCCCCCTTGAAGGCCTGAATTCCAAAGACAGCCAAAATTCAGTTTTCCAGCTCTTAAACTGTTTGTGGAAAGCCCTAGTCTTTTGGTTTTTAATTTTCTGGGACCCAGACTCTCCTACCTTGCTCAGTGCAGTGCTGCTATCTGTCAGCTGCTGGTATTGCAGACTCTGCCAGTCCAAGACTTGAGCTGGTGCTGGGGGTTGGGGCGGCCGGGCTGGGCTGCTGGCAGGATGGATGCCCAGCTGCCTGCCTGGGGCGTGATCGAGACAAAATGGGCCAGCTGAAGTCTTCCAGGGCTACCTTAGCTCCAGGCAAGTGAGGGAGGAAATAGTAGTGTGTGACTTATCAGAGGTGTCATGAATTGAAGGGAAAAATCTGTCCTGTAGGACTGGAGTCCTGCGCTCAAAAGCTGAGGTGTGTTGTAGTGCCATTACTGTCCTGTCTTGCAAAGCCACTGTGCTATTACAGGAAAAAAACTGGTCCCAGCTACCAGCAATCAAATCTGGAGCAATGTGCCAGATACTTACCGTCACTGAGCTGTGCTCTTTCTGCTTTTTGTGTCAAAGTGGACATAACTGCTGGGAGCTCTCAGCCTCTGGCTCCCAGCTGCAGGGAAGCAGATACGGAGAGGGCGGGCAGTCCCTGTGCGTGGGATTGCAGCCAAGGGCAGCGCTCATGGGGCATTTGCTCTTTGTGTGACTGGTACAAGCTCAGGAGTTATGATCCTGGCTTTGCCATGTTTGTCCCGTGCCCTGAGGACACAGGGGAGTGAGCGATGGGATGTGGTGGGAGAGGGCAGGACCCGAGTCCTCTACCAGAGACAGCTTTGAAACTGTCCCTTGCAATTGCTGCGCTGACCTCTGCGGATATGGAAACAAAAGCCCTGGGGGCTGGCACTGCTCCAGCCTGCGGCACGGGAAGCGAGATAACTGTCTGCTGTCGCAGCCCTCGCCATGACATTGATGCATGTCCGGGCCAGCCGAGCAGCGGGGAAGCTGGGCTGCTTCTCTGTGACTGCCTCTGCGTGTGCCTGTCTGTCTGTCTGTCTGCCTCCTTCGATGGTGCCGCTGGCAGCATAGCATCCTGGCACAGCACAGCCCCGCAGCGAGGCAGCGGCTGGGGTTTGTGAAGGAGTCGTGCAATGGCCTCATGGACACGAGCAGCAGGGCAGGGCCTTGGTGCTGACTCAGCCACGGCATTTTTAGGCTCCCCAGGAATAGCTCTCAGCTGCCCCGGCCTTTCCTGAACAAAGCCTGAAGGAGCTTCAGACAGACGGACTGTCCCTTGGTGCCTGCTCTGCTCAAAGCAGAGCTGTCCCTTTTGCCGCAACTCTGGCCAAGGCTGTTGGGCAGGGACAGGCTGCTGTGGTGTCTGGCAGCAAAGCGGTTTGGGGTGCAGCTGCCCCTGGGGAGGCACAGCCAGTGCTCGTGGGTGCTCCCTAGGGTGCCTCCCTGCAGGCCTGACACCTGGCTGGGAGGGGAAACTGAGGCAGTCTTGAGCTCTTGAGGCACGGGGTGTTGAGCTAGGCCATGCTCTCTGATGGGTGATGGCAGGAGCCCCGGCTGCGGGTGAGTTAAGGGAGTCGGAAGCGTTTCTGAGCATGGGGCCAGCCTGGCCGCTGGCCCGCACCACCGGCGCCCGACTCCTTCCCTGGCCAGTGTCAGACAGCCACAGGAGAAAAGCAGCGAGCACCACGAGCAAAGGTTACTGCAGCTGCAGGCAAATACTGTCGTGGCGTATGGGATGGTCCTACCATGTGCATAAAAACATGCAGAAACCCCCTGGGGTGAATACGGGCTTGTTCTTCAGGTGAGGGCTGGCTGTGCCCACCTTCCTTCTCATGTCCTGAAAAGCAAACAGCAGGAGGGAGGGCAGGGACCGTGGGAGGACCTGTGGTTCAGGTTGGGGTGGGGGGGTTGTGTAGGGGGTGCCTTTCTGCAGAGTTACAAGAGCATCTTATCCACAAAGGGGGATGTCACCTCCTAGCAGCACAAATGGAAAATGAGTGAAGGAAGGGGGGGAATTTGCTTCTGCCTCAGAGGACTCTTCAGTTCTGGTGTTCCCCCAATGCTGTTACGTCTTCCTTTTGAACCTGTGCATCAAGAAAAAAAAAAAAAACAAACCAAAACAAAGCAAATGGGAGCAGTGTGTCCCTGGTGTACTGGGGGGGCAGCAGCCAGGCTGCACCCTGGGGCAGGGCTGGGGAGAGGGTGATGCCAGGCTCCCCGCTGGCGCCATCCCCAACGCTCTTGCAGAGGGTCGTCCAGCCCGATAGCATCGGCTCAGGTTGAGGGAGGGTCCCTGGTGGCCCCAGGGCCACGCAGCCAACGTGTCACCATCTTGCCTGTCCCCGGCTCACGCTCCAGCGGGGCCGCGGCGGTGCTGGCATCTGGGGGGGGGACGCTGCAGGGAGGCAGGCTCAGCCTGAAAAACAACCCGCCTCGCACCCTCCCTTCCCACATCCTGAGCAGTAACTTTAAAAAGCAGCGAGCTGTGCTCTTTGAGGACACGAGGGGGGAAGGGGAGAGGAGGGTTGCAAAGTTATCGAGGTTTGGATTGCTCTTTAAGTATCGAAGTGCGACTCTGCACTTCTCCACCCACACACCTTTGCACTGAAATACATGAGGGGGTAGCTCGTCCTCTGTAGCATAGCTGTTGCTTGTATTACGTGCTGTTTGTTGGTTTTAAGAGTGTATGTTGTATGAGAAAGGAGGCAGGTCCTAAAATAACCCAGATGCCTGCTTTGCAATTTAAGGCACTGGCCTCATCCTTAATTTACCTTCTCACCAGCCCCCCCCGCCCCATCGAAGCAGCAGCTAGGGTGTGAAGGGCTCAGCCTTCCCACTGGAGCATCTGCAGGTTGGTGACTGGTGTTTTTGCCGTAGGGGACCCTGCTTGTGTCTGTGCTGGCACGGTCCTCGTCCCTGCTCGAGCAGGGCAGCATCCCTGCTCCGGGAAGCTGGAGCAAGCTGGAGGCAGCGGGCACCCGTGAGCTGCTGGGAGTTTGTGCAGGGTTGGTGCTGTAGCCTTGGCAATACCACACAGGCCAGTGGTTTAACGGACTCGGGCTCTTTACAGAAAAGCTGCTGGGAAGTGCTGAGTGTACCAGCTGGTGGGGAGCCTCTCGCTGCTCTGTTTGCTGGAGGACACAGTGCAGAGCCCAGGAGGTTGCTCAGCCCACGGGTGGCTCTTGGGGAAGGCTTGTTATTTGCTTCTGGAGGGGAGGCCAAGGGAGGATTTGTTTTTCCCACTTGGCCTGAGTTTGACTTGGACTTTGCTCCCTGGTGCCAGTTTTTCTTGAGTCCCCTTTTTTGCAAAGAAATACCATAGGAGTGGGGGGAGCCTTGGAAGTGTGTGGTGTGTTTCTGTAGGTGCCAGCACAGCAGATCAAGTACACCAGTTGCAGTGAGTACAAAATAGCACCGCTTGTACCCGCCGCTCTCGGACAGAGGGACACTTTTCTTGATCCAATATAATGGAGTAATTCAACTCCCCTGCTCCTCTCCCCCTCCCCTGCTGCAGC